CAGCAAGCTCTCAGACAGCTGGCTGACAAGCAGACCGGTCCCAAAGGAGATGCCCGTTCTGGTGACCAGCTCACTGGACTATACGAGATATTTGTGTCTGTCATTGTCTTTGTCTGTGTCCTGGGGAGAATCTGTGTGCGTCGACTATACAAGCAGAAAGCAACTGTGTGGTTTAAACCCGTTGACAGTGTGTTGCTGCTTCATACGCGACCCTGATCCAACAGGTGTGACTTCTGTCTGCAGCCAGCACATAGTGATGGGCTATGTGGTCCACTCTTATGAAGAGGATTTTCACATTCATTGTATGTACAGAATGTATACAGTTTTTATTCATTTATAAAAAGGTGAATAAAGTTAGATATGTTCTTCCCTGATTTGTATGAATGAATGAGGGTCAAGACTTTACAATTTATAATTATTACAGTACCGCAGCAGACCTAGTATACAGTATAGATAATGTAATGCACGGTTTTCCAAAATGGTGGTACAACCCAATGTATCACACGATACATGTTATGGGCAGAAATGTGGATTTGTTTTTCGGTCCACAACAAGCTGCGAGATCCGAGTGCCTGGACAATAAAGCCAATGCAAAAGAGCCACAGACTTGCAATCTCTCGAATATGAAGTGGAGCCTCGACAGGTTGCAATAAGAAGTCCAGTTGTATAAAAGTCCAAGAGAGAATTACCATACTTATTACTTGATTTACTATCTCAGAAAACCTTTCCCCTTCAATACAGCTTTATGTAATTTTGGTCTTGTTTAGAGTAAATAAAGAGGAAGAAGCAGGATAGGGCCTTATCAGGCTTTAGGGCCGGTCACATTATGATAGACAGGCTGCTACCATGGCATATTCCAGTCTGGGTGCTGTCTTTTTTCTTCTTAAAACATTCAGCTTTTCTCCACGGGTTTTCAGTTTGTGAGAGTTAGTCGTGACATTTTATTCTTCTAAAATTGTTTATATTCAGTGTATTTTTATTAACCCTTTAATGTCACTTGTGCTTGCAAAAACCCAGGGTGGTGACATCAAAAATGTTGAATACAGGGCTTACAGAACCATTGCATATCAGTTGCGGAAGCCATGGTAACAATGTCCTTATGGTCCAGACCTAAATATCTCAACAACCACTAAATGGATGGCATACCATTTGATACAGATAGGCATAGCCTACTCATGGTTACCAGAGGATGAATCAAATGGTGATTCCTCACGTTCCCCCCAGCATGATGCAATCACTTCTTTTTTAAATTAGTGCCCAATACTTTATTGTATGACCAAATTCTGCAAAAACAAATGGGATTCCCATCAGCCTATCCATACTGTGCCAAATGTTAAAAAGGAGAACATGTTGTTAACTAACCAACTAAACCAGATTAACATCATCATGCTAGCACTGTTATTGTGAGCATAGCACGTTGATGTTAGCATGTAACAAACCGCATGCTGTAGGCTACATGTGCCTGTGTTCCTGGTATATATGTGAACCATAGGCCAAATAGATAAGATTTGATGAGAAGAAATCACAGCCTTGAACTTTATATTTCTGGGAGATGAGCGTTTAACAATGTGCCATCAAAATCCCAGCAGTTTAGCTATGTTTAAAAACATCAAGAAAACTGTTGTCATGCTGACAGACTGCCATTAACACACCTGAGGTGGACACCTGCTCGTACAGTCTGCAAGGCCATGAATGGAAAATCCTACGCCTAGAATTACAACTTTAAAAGTAAACATGTGTAGATAAAAATAGCCGCTAATTAGCAATTCATTTGGAAACACTCACCTGGTACCCCGCTGGGCCGGATCATGCACTAAACATGTTGTGTTGTTGTGAGTATCAAAATGCCCGCTGAATATCCTGTTTTGTTATGAAAAATCAAATTAAGTTCCAAGGTCTCTGCTGACTTCCTTGCATAGTGAGCATAGTTTTAGTTTTGTTTAAACATGACCCCCCCCCCCAACAAGGGTAGGCCTATCTGTATATCTTCTGATAAAACAGGCATAAAAGCTACATTTTGCTTCCACGTTGTAAATGAAATTGGAATAAGACAAAGCCATATTCAGATTTTACAAATTGTCTAAGTTTTATAAAATGGAAATATCAGACATGATGACCATAAGATCCTCTGCGTGAGACTTGCTTCTCCTCACCAAATCAAGGAATTCATTTAAACAGACTTATTATGGGACACTTATGCAGTAGAGCCATACACGTGTATGTCCCAGATACCGAAATCCATTTCCTGCAGAAAAGGGTGACTTCTGAAAGCTAAAATAAATTGCAACGCATTGCTTAAAAATGCAGAATTGTGAAATGAATAAGTAACTGTTGATCCAAAATACATTTTACGGCACTGCTGGAAACCAAAGCCTAGAAACTGAAATGAAAAACGAGTTGAAAGCTGTACATAACCTAAAAATGCAGAGAGCTTAAATAAATTGCTATAAAAAAAGCTAGAAACAAAATGGTTACACTGAGAGCAGTAGTTATAGTTTTAGTAGTAATTAATCAAAAAAGGACTCATAATTGGACATTAATCCTGTAAACAGATAGACATGTATGGCCTAGAATAGATACCAATAAATAAAAGCACTATAAATGTGAACACATCATGTTATCACCCTTTGCTCAAGTACTCCAAGCTGCTTTAATTTGAGAAGAGAGCTAATTGCAATTAAGATGCATGGGGTGTTGAGCTGAGAAGTAAAAGGAAGTAATCAGCGTTGATTATAGAGCCTGAGTGTGATCAGAGTAAATCATACACTGTACGGCTCTCTCCGCCCTCCTGCATCTGAATCAGTCATTGAACGGGAACAGAGCCTGTTCTTAGTGTGATTACGTCCACGGCAGCACTGACTCCAGCTCTTAGGTTTGAAAGGCTTATGATCCATGTGACACAGTGTGGTCGAACTAATCATGTCCTGCCCAGAGAATCACATAAAGAGGTGTTGTGGATCAAAAGTAAAACTTTCTCATACAGCTGCCAGCCTGAATTTAATGGCTTCCAGTTGCTGTCATTTCATAATCTGGATTGTTTTCCTAAAACTGCTCATTATAGTTGAAGTTGTGCTGCTGTATATCAAGCTCAATTAATGTATTTAAACACATCTGCTGTTAATAGGGAAAGTTTTCTGCATTTAGCTGGCTCAATTTGTCTTTTGGGGATTGCTGAAATCGAGAAAAGTGTGCAGTAAATGTATTTTGTGTTATTCTGATAAAGCTGTTCCTCACTTTGTAACAATGTGAAATGATCCAATAAGAACTACACGAAATTCATAAACCTGTCACGTAGAAGCAGCATAGTGAAATGAAAGTGAAAATAAAAAAGCAACATTTAAAAACTACCTGACTTGATTGACTAACCAACACTGACACCTAGTGGTTCATAAATGCAAACATAATTTCAAAAGATCTGTTGGTCATTTCAAGAGGAATGTTTATTAAAATGTAATCGCAAATGTAATTTTACTTTACAAAAATTGACCATAATTGGTTGTTTTTCAAAAATTGAATAAAGCAACGCAACACAATTAACTTTATCCTTCAAATCAGTAATTACTTCAGATTATCAGTACCCCTCAATATCTTCACACAACAAGCTTACAAACGTTTTAAAATATCAAAAAGAGAATTCAAGTGCTCATGATAGTTAACATTTATATTACAGCAGAGTTCATTGTTTGCTTTTTCTGTGCTTGACTTAAGAGAAAGCAGAGGAAATACATGCAAAGGGGGTAAAGACCCTGGGCATAAACAAAGCCGTCATGCTCATTTCAAGCATGATCGATGGTTAATGGGTTTTAGCACCCGGCAGCACAAGTTAATGCATGTGAGCAGTGAGTTTTAAGACAAAGCCAGTGTTCATGTAAAGGCACCTCCAACAATACAATGATGCTCACCCTAACTGAGCACAGCCCAACACCAATAGACGGTCATACAAAACAACATGCTTAGTAGTGCACTCTGTTGTTGTTGTTGTTGTTGTTGTTGCCTCAATCGAAGAGGTCGGGGTGGTTCTCATGGCAGTACTCTTCAAAGCTGAAGTCCTCCACAATGAAAGGGATATCCTTCCACTTTTTCAAAGTGAGCCTGCCGTTGTTGGGGGTATCCAGGGCTAAATTCTTAATGCTTAGATTTGGCAGCAGGGCATCCCCCTTGTATTTCATCTCATATCCCCAGTCCTGTGAATTCAAAGAATATAAATCACACCACAAAACGATCCAAAAGCCAAACTTTGTTAAGCAGGGAAATCTTTTCCGAGTTCAAAAGTAATATTTGGTAGAAAGCCTTTACCTTGTCGCATTCTCTGCAGCAGACCTTACGCCCAGGCTCCCAGTCCTCAAAACTCTTTTCCAGCGTCACCTGCACACCGACTTTGTAGTTTTTCCTGAGAAAAAAGATGAGCAATGATAAGAGCAGTAAAGACAAAGGAATTTGGCCTTTAATGTGTTTTGAATAAACTCTTAAAGGTCCCCTATTATAATGTTTTTCATCAATATATTACAGATCTCAGATATATACAAAACATGTCTCTGAAGTGTTTGGCTCGAAATACCCAACAGATCATTGTAGCATCCCATAATCCCCTCTGTTTCAGCCCTGTTTCAAAAGTGCTGATTCTCTGTCTGTTACTTTAGATGAAAATAAGGAGCCCCTCCTCACGCCCCTCTGAGAGATATTTGGTTAAAAAGAACACAATGGTGCTCTATGAGGAGATTCAGGTTGATAAGGTGGGGGGGGGTACTTTGGTTGGTGATTGGCTAATGGTTACAGAAGCCAAAAAATCGTCAAGTGGCCATCGTAAAGTGGCCAAAATCTGATAAGTTCGTTTTCAGACAGGTTGTTATATAAATGGATCAGGACAAAAAGTGAGTGAATCTTTTTTCCTGAAACTTTCAGAATCTTTTCACACAGAGGGGACACATATTGATGTATAAAAGACATGAGAAAGTGGATTTTGCATAATAGGTGACCTTTAAAACGGCAAAGAATTCAACTCACTCAAAGTCAGGGTTGACGTTGACATAGTGCACACCATCCAGGAGTCTCAGGTCACTGCCAGGGGCCACAGAGGTGAAGCAGCTTCGACACACCAGGTTGAAACTGGCAGCAGGGTAGCGACTCCTCTTCTCCATTTTGAGTTTCTCTGCAAGACTCCTTTGAATAGCTGCCTCCCTTTGCAGTGCAGCTATCTGGAGACCCAGATTATTCCAAAGGTTATCACAGAATCACAAAGCAGCGTGATTAAATGATGGAGATGGACAGAGAGCCTCACCTTTTTGGAGAACTCTCGGGGGCACATCTCTTGGACCTTAGCAATAGCTTTTTCTGTCAGCTCTTTCAGATAATCATTGGTGCGCTCCCGCCTCACTTCCGGCCCCCCACTCTGGGCGACCACTGAATACAGGCTGTCTTTTGCTCGGGCTCGTCCGCTGGCCTGCTGCTGGGCAATCTCATTTGTAAGCAGTCCGTAGCGTACCACCAGGTTGCATTCAGGAATGTCGAGGCCTTCTTCTGCCACACTGGTGGAGACCAGGAGGTTGACAGCACCTTGGCGGAAATTGCGGATTGTTTCTGACTGCTCGTTCTGCAGGGAAAGCATGTAAGGACGACTTGGTCAGATAAAACAGAAACACATCTATGGATAAGTTTTAGCTGAATTTAAATGACTTTAAAGATCTCCTATCATGTTATTTTTAGGCATATATTATGGGTCTCAGATATATAAAAATATATAAAAAAACATGTCCATGATGTGTTCAAAATACCAAACAGATCATGCATTTTAGAGATCCCTTATATCCCTCTGTTTCAGCCCTGTTAGAGAACTGCTGATTCTGGGTCCTTAGCTTGAACAACAAAAAAAAAAGAGGAGAGGGAGGGAGCTTGTGCCCCAGAGATACAGCTAAATGCTGTTGTTACAAACCACATCAAGGATTATTTCTGAAACAGTATGGAGCTCAAATGCTTTTCACTTGCGGGTTTACCAAAAGGCGAGTTCCTTTTTTTATTTCCTGCTTTTTTACACATACTCTCTCCAGTACAGGTTAGCTCTGAGTGTTAGCGAGGCTTGCTAATGTAAACAAAGACGGTATTAAGTCCAAAACACGTTGTGCATTGTTTCTGATAGCAACGTTTCTGATAGTGCCGTGGGTGTAAAGCCGGCCCACATTTCCGATATTACGTCATATCGGACGCAAATCTGGATCAGCTCCGTTGTACCCCCGTTTTTAGAGATTTGGGTACGGAGGAAAAGAGAGAGGGTTTTGTTTTCTGATACTTAGTGAGTTCCCACACCAGGGACACATATTTATGTATAAAGGACATTAAAAAGTGCATTTTGCATGATAGGAGACCTTTAAGCTCAGAGATTGAATATAAACACACCAATGTCATGTGAGAGATACCGTTACCGGCTCCAGTGAGGATGGCTGGCTTGATACCTGCTTCCTTTAACTCTTTATCGTTGAGAACCCAGTCGTTCAGGCAGTGGGTGCTTTTACGGGTTTTGCTGAAAATGATCCCCTTCGAATTCTCCCTTGGAACAAACTGTTCTAGCAGAGTGCTTTTTAGTTTGTCCATCTTTGGGTTCCCATAGCGAGAATCTTTTACCAATATCTCCAGCTCCGCCTGATTCTCTGTTAAAAAGGACAGTAATATTAATCAATGCTAGAATATGATTAGTTTGCTATAATAAAAAGAGATGTATATACAAATAGACACTAAACTAAAATGTTTGTGTTCCTACCTTGGAAAAGCCCCGCCAGGAAGATGTCTGTTCCTTCAATTTCTCTGGTTATCTTGTTCCTGTAGAACTCCACCAGGCAGTGATAAGCATCTATCATCCGCAGCGTGTCGTTGATGAGCAAGGCATCGTTGTACTCTCGGAGGTGAAGTGCACATTGTGCTAGCATTCTGTCTTCCGTTTTGACTCCTGATTCAAATGTAAACAAATGATGTACAAGCGTCAACAGTGGACATTTGTTTTACATTTAATCTAATGTGTTCTCCTTGCCATCACAAGTGATGACTACATTCAAGTAAAGAAGTTGACAAAAGAAACGTACCTATCTTCTCGAGTTCCACCACATCTGCCTCATACTCTTGAGTGCCACACTGTCTCAGTCTGAAGCCTGGAGGAATGTTCATGAACTCATGGATCATCAGCATCATGGACTTCAGTTGATCCCCGAACGGATCCTATAGGAAAAAAGTGTTGTTTTTAGTTTACTTAGAACTTGTATGGGATTTTAACATAGTTTTGAAGTTTTTGTTTTTTTAAATAAACGACAATTGAGACATAAATGAATGTCCCCAGGTCAGGTCAGTTGGGATGGGAAGTAATTATCAGGGTGCATTACCGTCTGCAACAGCATATGTTTTTAAATAAAGCCTTTTCAAATATAAAATAAAATGGGCTTCAATGTTTTAAAAGATGAGGAACTAGCGCACCAATCACACCACAAACCCATCTATCACTTGACCTCGTTGCCAAATGTCTGCCTCCTACACAGTTGCTGCTAAATTGTGGGGACGAATGTTTTCACCAGAGCAGGCTATAGAGCTGCAGGTGGCAGCTAAAAAAAAAAAAAATCAGGTTTACCTCAGGTCTTGGGTCCACAATGTCGAACTGCTTGATGGGCCTGGGGACTTTCTCATTCAGCTCAGCGACAAAGTTTGTAGTTGAAACTATGGCTGAGTCAAGGTTGGCACAAATCTGTAAGAGAGAGAAAGGAACTCATGAAGAAGAGACAAATGGGAGATCAGACAATCCTGCTCATGCTGTGCGGAATTTGGTATTTCATTGCAAATAGGTAAACTCTGACCTGCAGTATGTGCTCCGTAGCTTTTTGTAAGTCCCTTGCACCCCCTGTCCCCGGTGATGCAGTGAGACCCAGGATCTGTGGCAATGATTTCTCTCCTTTTAGTTTTTTCTCCAGGTAGAATGTCATCACCTTGTTGTAGACTGCATCTTTGTTGGTGTGGTGGCACTCATCGATTATCAGTAGAGTAATATCTGTAAGGAACCATTATTATTATTATTATCATGGGTACAATCTCTATATGTGATTCTACATAACAGCTCTATAGTCACAGATGTTTGAACTCCCTTTCACTCACCCGAGAGCTCCACATGTTTGTCCTCATCCTTGTCTATCAGAGCATTATGCAAAAGCTGTGCTGTGCAGATGACGACGTCCATATCTTGCAACACTTTCCCAAAGAAGTCCTTCTCCACTGTCTCTCCGCTGACAGGCAACACTTTGTAGTCTCGGCCCAGGTGAGGTTTGAACTCATTTTTGTAATGTTGATCTACAAGGTGAACCTACAGTACATTAAAGAAACACATTGTATTGAGCAACACTGAATGTAAAACATCATATCTGTCGTAAACATGTTTATTTCCTTTTGGTTGTGGGTACCTTGTTCACCAGGACCACCACCTTGGCCCGTGGGGTGGCCTCCAGGTGTTTTTTGGCCACATAGACAGCAGCTCGGGTCTTTCCACCTCCTGTCGGCAGCCAAATGATGATGTTTTCTTTGTGAAGAGCCCTCTCAGCCACTTCCTTCTGGTATGCATACAGTTCAAAAGCTGCCATGCTTCACTTTCCTCCTATTAGATCAAACATCAAAAACACACAGAAATAAAATATAATGGTAGAAAAGAAAGACATTAGTTCGTACCAGTACATCAGAGCTGTGATCACTAACATTATAAAGCCTGGCTATATCACAGTTATAGTTAGACAAACATGCATTGTGAGAGACGTGTTGAATTATAGCATCATTTATCTTTAAGCTGTTATAGAGTTGGTTTATTAACTCACCAGTCAGCTGTGTGAAGTTCACGGCTTCCCCTTGTCCACTAACACCACACAGTGTTGGTGTGGGGTTTTAAACTGTGTTCAGGACAGCTGTGTGACGCAGAGATGCAAAAACGAAAGTAAAAGCCCTATGAACTCAGACAAGAGGGCCTGTTGAGGGAGGCTCTGGAGGAACGACAGATACAACTCACTATCCAATGACAAAGGAATCCTGACTAAAACTGACAAAAAACAGATAAATTACAACTCTGTTTTAAATGCAGCCATGCCTACGTCAATATCGTGGTTGAGTTAATATTTTACTTATGATTCCACATTATGTATTTACTGTATTAGTGGCTCAGCGCTGAGGGGGTTCTGCAGAGTGCTGAACTCCCTGACTGGGCCCTATCTGTTTCTTCATTCCATCAGGAAAACAAAACCTACCGTAGCCTTGTTGTCATGAGGAAATCCCCACAGCTCTTTAACTGGAACTCTTGAAACCGGATCTTCTCTGTCCTTCAGCAACTTTTTGATTTCAGTTGCCAGTCATTGTTTGGAAGGATTTAGTTAAAGTCAATCGTAAATCAAGCAAACATTTGTGATTTGAGTAAAGCTGTAAATGTATCAATATGCAGCATTGAATGATTAACTGTCCATGTGGCAACACCGCCTTTTTAACTGCAACAAAGTAATACAAATAACATCTTGTAAACAGCTTCTAAACAAAGCAACCAGATGCATGCAGCTGAACACCAATATTCATATCCTGACTATTTCAGAAGTTCTATACACATCTATACATACTAAACTGTAATAATCAAATATTTACATCCCAAGTAGGAAAAATACATGCTAAATTCAGAATACATTCTGGCCTCAACCAACTTGTGTACAAAGCTAAGCAAAAGGAGGATTACAGGATCAATGAAAATGCATTAGAACATATTGGATGAATTAGCTCTACAGATGAAGATTCACATGATAACTAGGAAAAAATCACAAGATATTACTAATGATAGGTTCTGGGATTACTACCCAGGCTCAAGAGGAATCACAGGACCTATTGAAACATACACTTATAGTACAGAAAATACACATCTGTTGAAGTGATTGACATGTAGACAGCATTCCATGTTCACCAGCATTTAAATCCTGCTTGTTTGATCAGCTGTTTGAAAGAAAAACAAAAAGGTGTGGGCTTTTTGTTACTGGAAAATGAAACCTAAAGCCTATTGCAGCAGCTTCAAACACAAGTTCAGGAGAAGTACATTTTGGTAGTAATAAGAATATTATACACAGATGAACTATAATAGGCAGCTATTTTGCGAGAAATGCAAAAACAAAAAAAGGGACAAAATGGTATTAAATTAAAGCAGTCGTAAGGCAGTAATGTAGGACACTAACGAAAATAACTAATAACCCATTTGTGAACAGCCGAGACAATAGAGCTGGATGATTTTGATGAAATGTAATTGTGATAACATGATGTCGATATTGTAGTAGCGAGGAAATTATGATTTTAGCTTTATTATTCAAATTTTAATTGAAGAACTCTAGGCCGGGACATGTCTTCAGCACCACAATCCTTACTTTTGAATATTTTGTCACATCTTTTTGCATCTATTGCTTCTGCCAAGATGTTCAATATTGCACTGGTCCATATTAGTTTTGCAATACAATTCTTATTATGACTTTGGCATGCACAATAGTGCTACTATAATTACACATTAAATGACATAGGAGCTGTCTATAGAAATACTAAATGTTATTTTGTCTAATCTGTGAGATTCATTAGATATGGTGGCAGTATCACGAGTGAAAAGCTGTCTTGCAAGTCTTTTACTTTGCCATGTCTAACATCCTGTTACTGCATTCTCATTGCAGTACAAGTCAAGTGACTCAAGTCCACACCCTGTTTATACAAAAACAAACCTTTATTGTCATGAACAGTATTACAGATACAGTAAATGGCATTCATCATAACTACACACGATAGCCATCCTCTAACAGGTGGAAAGTTCACTCGGACTGACCCGTGTAAGGACATCTGAAATGCAGCATAGGTAGATTGTGGGAGGAGTACGCAATAGACAACCCTGAATAATGCAACAGACATCACTTCAGAAACTCAAAGCTAGTCATGATTCAAGTACAAAATAAACACACACACACAAATCAATGTCACATGAAACATTCAACAACCAGGCTCAACCAGCATTAAAGAAGTGGATGCATCTCAGGAAGCACTCCGTTTGACACTGACCGCCATAACAAACATATCACCGTTTGTAACACTGTTAAAAAATAATAAAAAGAGTTGGATGTTTTTCTATGAATTCAAATGTGTAAACTGTCAACCATGCATCAACACCAACTACAGCTTGTGTGAGGTGTGATAAATAAACCAGTCATCTTCACACAAGGCCACAGTCCATGAGGACGGCATGTTAGCCCCCCCCCCCCACCACCACTGTTATGATCTTTTAAACTATCCAGTAAACAAGTGGGTGTACACTAAATCCTTAGCATGTGTGTGCAGAAGTAATTGTACTAGAATCTAGCAACGCAACAAATAAATGACAACTACAGAATCACCTGCAAGCATGGTAAAGCTTTACTAATGTGTGAACTCATCCTGCCAGTGAAAAATGGATGTATAAACAGTTTGCATCATAATTACTGTATAAATAAGAATGTCTATGTTGATGTCAACATATGTTGAAGGCAACAATTGGGGAAATTATTTTGTCCAGCACTAAAGTGCTAGAAATAGTTGTCACCCAGTCCATCATCAGCAGTCTCTCACACTACTCCAGTAGGGCTGCACAAACCCTTTGTATTATCCGTTAATCTGTAAGGTTTTGAATTATTTGTTTAGAATAAAGAAGATTTTTTAAATGAATCTAGTTATAGCCTAAATGATAAATAATTTGCTTGTTTCTGACTATCCAAAGATATCCAGATATTTAAGTTCTAACTTTAGAATTTGCACTCCATTAACAACTTTACCAATTGTATTTCATTAATTTTGCACATTGCATTTTCAATAATCAACATTTCAAGTTGTTTTTAGAATATTTGAGGCCCAAATGTTTCGGGGAATTCACTCCTCATTGAACGTCTATCTGTTTACCCATGAAGATGGCTGGGATGTTCAAGTATCTGTCAGTAGCGGAAGGCATCGCGGCTTTAGGTCCCGAGGTCCAGTCTTCTGTGAAAGACTTCTACACTACATGTTTCTGCTTGAGTGACGAATTTTAAGCAAATTGGATCCAACGTCAATAAATGCGACAAAACCAGCTCAAATCATACTATAAATACTCGTAAAAAGTGTGGCATTGTTATAACTTGGACCTATAACTTTGGTACACTTAATGAAACATGTATATGCAGAGTATTGACTCACTGTGAGTACTAAAACGAGAAGATGACAACTTAAAGGGGGGATGGAAATGCCATTTTGACACTTTGTAATGCTTTACTTGATTTGGTGTTACCAAAAAACCCTCCTTTATGCTTGCCCATCTATTCTCTTGCAAGATGTCAGTCTTGTACATACCCTTTTAATAACTCGTAAGACAACAGCTAGCGTCAATTTGTGGTCATCTTTTGATGAGAGTTTTGTAAATAACTCTGTGGTCGAGTTCATTTCTCGATCAAGCCTCCGTCTTTTAATTTGAAGTAGAAGAACTTCTCCAAGGTGTTGGCACTCTTGCAGTACTCGCTGTCCGGAGGGTTGTACTCGCGACAGTTGGTGATGATTCGCTGCAGGTCGGCAATGAAAAGCTTCTTGGTCACATAGTATCTGTTCTTCAGTCTCTCCGTCATGGTTTTCAGGTCTGTGGGGGGAAACGGGGAAAAAACATCATCGATGTGAAGAATAACAATTGAATGAGGAGCGTATGATATGATCATGGCCTAAACAATAGAATCATGAAGAATTCAAAGGCTGCTGTATAATCTAAACAGATTATTGCTCACCGATGGGAAAGCGGATGATCTCGTAGTAATCTGGAGCCTCAGATTTTTTCACTGGTTCCATGAAGGGCCAGGCATCAGGATGAGTCTGCTCAGGGAATAAAGACCTGGTAAGTCCATAGCCGGGTTTTCATTAACATATTACTATGCACATTTAGGATTTAATTACAGAAAAGCTGTATAAAAGGCACCATTTTATACAATTCTGATGGAAGTACGGTTTAATTTAAGTTTAATTTGATCCTAGCCAGTAGATAGATATTTTTTGCATACTTTTCAAAGTTGGCCTAAAATAAGACACAACTACTGTTACTTGTACGTGTGTGTGTGTTCCCGCCAGGTGTCTCCAGGTGACTCTTACCTTAATCTGGGCCAGGAGGTTCTTCAACATGTTGTATAACATGTCAGGGTCCTTCACCTCTTTCCTGTAAAATGTGCAATGATAAGTACAACACTGACCCAACCAAGATAAGGCTGTGGAGAAGGAGAAAAACACTTAGGTCTCTAAATGAGTGAATTCTATTTGGGACAAACTGTGGACTTTAAACTGTTTACCTTTTTGTACCCATGTCACAATTACACTTTGCAGTAATGTGTGTAGAATTGATGAATTTGTGATGCTTTGGCGCTCCCCAGTGGCAATAACAAAATGGTAAAGTCCACAGCTTCTGAATATTACATCAGCGAGAACCCAAGCATAACCAAAACAAAATTGTTTAAAGGTTTACCCTTTGTCCTTGTTACTGGGTTTCCAGCCGGTCTCTCCTGGAAGAAAGAAACTTGTCAGAAATATGATAACCATTTAAACAATATATGTTTTTATTGTAAGAAAAAAACCAAAGACTCACTTATGCCTGGAATGCTCTCCACCGGGATCTGCCGCACGCCTTCTTTGAAGCAGGTGAGACCTGGGTAAACCTTCCTGATCTGGGTCTGTTTTCTCTCAATCAGCTTCTTAATAATCTGACAAATTAAGATTCATGTGGCTATTATAAGCACATAGATTCAAAGCAGAAACATGATTGAGCTTTAATAAGAGGGTCTCACATACCTCCTTCTGTCTTTTAATGATATGAGAGAGCTCAGTGTAGGGGATTCTGGGGTTCAGCTCACACTCCATGAGGGTCGCTCCCTCGTAGTCTTTGATGTATCCCAGGTAACGAGTCTTCGGCACTTTGATGTCTTTGGAAAAGCCCTGCGAGGAAAGAGCAAATTACTAAAAAGGAGAAGGTGGAGGGGGAAGACGGAGCAGAGCTAATGCAGGTCCTTGCTGCAGTACCTGCTTCTTGAAGTAGCCGATGGCGTACTCGTCGGCGTAGGTGAGGAAATAGAGGATGTTGTGTTTGATGTGGTACTCCTTCAGGTGGTTCATCAGGTGGGTGCCGTAGCCCTTATATTAAAAAAGCACAAGTGAAAAGATATTAAAAGTGTGGTTTTACACATTACAGAATCTCCGTACTATGTTATACTTCCTGTACGCAACTGCTATTGGATTTAAGGGTACGGTGCAGGAAAAATAACAATAAATTGCAAATTAATTAAAGCAAAAAAAAAGGTATAACAAATAACTCATGATGAACGGTCGTTATATACCTTGACTTGCTCATTGGATGTGACGGCACAGAAGACGATTTCTGTGAAGCCCTGAGTGGGAAACATCCTAAAACAGATGCCTCCGATGACGCGGCCATCTTTGATAAGGGCGAGGGTTTTGTGCTTCCTGTGGACATGGGAGGACATCAGAACAGTGCACAGCCATAGGATGGTGACGTGTGGAGTGAGAACATCTACGTGTGGAGTGAGAACATCTACGTGTGGAGTGAGAACATCTACGTGTGGAGTGAGAACATCTACGTGTGGAGTGAGAACATCTACGTGTGGAGTAAGAACATGTACTTACGGGTCGAACACCAGCCGTGTGATGTACTCTTTGGGCATGCGAGGTAACTGATGCGAGAACACATTCTGCAGGCCGACCAGCCACATCAGGATCTTCTTGTTGGACTTCTGGGAAAGTGAGTTTCCAATGACGTGGAACTCGATGATTCCCCGCCTCTCCTCCAGCCTGGCCGTCTCATCACGGGCAGCGTTTGGGGTCAGCAGATTAGTCTGGAAATATAAAGAAAAACTGAGTACTACAGTCAACATTTATAGACATGTCGCCTTAATAAACGATCTAAACATCTTACCTCTGGTCCGAGCATTGCAGCGGGGTCAGTGATGGTCATCATGACTTCATTGACCAGCTCCATAGGAATGTCTCCCATCACCCGGATCCGCTTAGCGTCCTCCAGGGTCAATACCTCCGGAAGTTTACGTTTCTCTCCTGATCATAATTGACAAAAACAAGATTAAAACAATGAAAGGGGACAGCTAACAATGAATTTAGAATGCTTAACTTTATAGTTATTTTCGTTATTTAACAAAACATTAGGTTCTTAATGACTTAAAAATCCTGCTTTTTTTTGTATCCACTACTGACCCTCCTCAATAGAGTGGTGCAGTGACGCGTCCTAAAACCCGGAAGTAAGTTGCGCTCGGGTTCCCTTGACAAAAAAAGCAATGGGATTTCTCCATAGGGTTTTGGAAAATAGTTGAAATAAGATCTGTGGAAAACATACCTGTTAGATAAATGCAGGTTTTGTTCAGCCGGATAATCTCCACATGTCTACCCTATTTTTATCATTTTCGAAATATTAGAAAATGACATGACGTGGATATTATCCGGCTGAACAAAACATGCATTTATCTAACAGGTTTGTTTTCCACAGACCTTATTTCGAGCTATTTTCCAAAATCCTATGGAGAGAAATCCCATTGCTTTTTTGTCGAGGGAACCCGAGCGCAGCCCATTGAAGTTTTCTTCGAGTCCTGTGCTCCATCCTCTTCGGGTATCTTTTGAGTATTCTTGACTTTATTCTCTTTATTTGTTTGGTTCTTAGGCAAGAACAGCCTCTACGCACTCTCAAGAAAAAAAAAAGGGCTGCTAATATTTTTGTGCATCATTAGAACACAGCTTTGCGCTTTGAGAACGAGCCATGAATGGGACCAGAGCTCCCAGAGTTTGTGAGGGTTTAAGAAATCATCAACCATTAACGTGAAGTCAGAGGCTGGGTGTTCGTTGCTTTACAGCAGGGGTGCCCACACTTTTTTGGCTGGTGAGCTACTTTTGAAATGACCAGCTCGCCGAGGTCTACCAACTAAAAATAAAATCCCAAATTGCAAGGGTTGCTGAATAACACGTTTTATTTATACATGGGATAACTACAATAGGGCTGCAACAAATGACTAATTTGATAATCGATTAATCTATCGATAAATGAAACGATGAATCGACTATTCGGACTATTACTGTATGCCTTGCACAATTTCTCAAACGCTCTTATTTAGCCATCAACTTTTAGATTTAGCTTGAGGTTGTTTTAGGCATGTGGAAATAAAGATGAATACTTGATTCAAAAATACATATATTATTAAATTAACTAAACACATTGTGAACAAAATTAACATTGCTTTTTATTTAAATAAAATAAATAATATTTCACATCAAAAGAAACAATGTTTTAACCTCTAATCATTAACCCATGTTTGTATAATGGAGTTAACTGTGTGTTGCTGCTAGCATACATAACACCTGATGTGGATGCGGGGCTACAGAGCTACTAGAAAGACAGTCGAACCCGGTGCATTCCTCCGTCTGAATGTGATGCACTTTTGCTACAAGCTAAACACTCTTGGCAAGGAGCATTGTCCGCCTCAAGACGGGTAACATTTAACCACACCTTGGAGCGCTTCTCTCCGCCATCTCCTCCGTGTGTTGCTGCATGTAGCAGCCGCGTGTGTGTGTAAACTGCCCCGCCCCCTCGCACACAGACGGGGGAGAGAGAGATCTCGTCTGATTGGAAAGATCGAAAATACACCGACCATAGACGCATTTGTTTGTCTTTTTGCATGTTAGAAACGAGTTGGCGACACTAAGACTGCAAGATAATGTTTGTGTAGCAATAATACATGACCTTTCTCTTTCTCAACTCGCTACTGGGAGGGAAGTCGCTGTTATGCCTTGTGAACACTCCGATAATGCCTCCACGTTACCTTTCTTTGGCAGAGCAACGCTTGCTTTACAAATAAGGCAAATAACCTTTGAATGTGACATCACAACAAAATATTCTTCCTCCCATTCTGTGTGGAAGTGGTATGTCTTTAGCTTTTTGCTCGGTCCCGCACTCATTTTGTTGTTTGTTTCTTTAACTTAATTTGAGTTTCCCGGCACTTGACTGATTTTGTATCGCTTTGCATTCTGGGTTAACAGACTGGAAAGCGATAGGTCGCTTTTTCTGTCAATCAAGTAAACTCCTGAATTAAGTGGCAGGGAGGCCACGGGAGGAGGGATCAAAACCTGTTTTGTCTATTTTAACGGAGCTGGATTTTTTTTTTTATGAATGACTCGCGATCTAGCAGCATTGCCCCCGTGGTCGACCGACGTACTGGGCAACTCTGCTTTACAGGGTATTAACGCTGCACAATATTCCTATAGTCTAACTGTATGCAACTTCTTTCCAAGTGTTCTGCTGTAGCCACTGAGGGTCTGGCAGGGGGGTTATGGGGGATCAGAGAAGCCGAGCTGCTGACCTGTGATGGGCTCTGCTCCTCCGGTGTCTGCACTGCCCAGAGAGGAGATGCTGCTCAGACCTTTGGACAGAGCGGGGGAGCCGGAGACTGCAGCCGGACTGATCACTGCAATGGAGACACACCAAGGAACAGGTTAATCATTACAAAACCAAGAAAAAACATATAGTGTGTACATTAAACTATAGTTACCTATCTAACGTTCCGTTTCACTCTTTACAAGTTTTAATACTTCATTTATACTTTTGCAGTTGGACTTCAAAAGGCAAATTGCTTCTGTGCACGTATATTTTCTCAATGCACAAATCATCTATATTAACAATGGGATTGTAAAATAAAAAGCATATTGAATTTCATTTGTCTGATTTAGACTTTCTGTTATTTGTTCTTAATCTGTTTTATAACCATGTACCCTGCGTCTTTGCAAGCTGTAAAGTGTGAATTTCTCCTCTGGGGATTATTAAACCTAGAAAAATAATATTTTTTAACAACAATACTAAATCATTTTTGTGATGTGATTGAGAGAGGAACTTATGGCAGCTTTTATGAACAGTCCAAAGGCTGAATCATAAGCCGTTGTTTATATAAACTCTGACCTACTTGTCTCATCCCGTTCAAATAGCTCTCATGGTTTGAAGTCTCCCCACCTGTCTGATGTCCCAGCTGCGTGCCGTCAGCGGCGGGCATCGTGAAGTCAGCCTCCCAGATGGGTGAATTATCGCCATAGATTTCTTCCTCCAGCATGGACAGGAACCTGATGACAGTCAGGGTAAATGTTATTGCAAAGGTAAATAAGGGAGCTGAGGAAGCTAAACTAAAACTGGTTGTGATAGAGGAGCTACAGAATCAAACCTGAGATGTGGTTTCAGAAATAAGCACTGTATCCATTCTGTATACAGTTTAAAGTCATGCGCCTTGATACTAATTATAGCAGGGATCATGGAGACTAAGGATGCTGCGATCGCCAATTTTGGGATCGATTGCCGATCGCCGGAATCAGTATCGGCCGATACCCATCGCCGATCCAATCGAGTGGGCGGGGCCTATGGGGATCTTCCATTTAAAGTGATTTTTAAAGTTAAAGTTTAAAACTCAGTTAATGGGGCTCATTCACTGGAGCTTCCACAAACAACAACCAACATAATTATTACATTCAAATTAAGTACATTATTCAAGTTTACATTAACTTTGGATAATAACACAGGAGAAATGAGAGGAAGCGCTCTCTCTCCCTCTCTCCTGACAGCCTGTCAGTATCATCTCATGCAGCTTACTGATCCAGTAATGAGTTACCCGACAGTGAAGAATAAATATATGTGTAACTAGCTTAGCTTGTTCCAGAGGTAGATAAAATAGCTAAGTGTGTTAGGTCTAACTCTTAGTGTGTGTTTTGCTCCGCTCACCGGTTCGTCACAGCGGGCGGAGCTGCAGGATTTCTGCTTCACACACGTTGCATACCGCTATTTTACTGTCTTTTTCGGACACCTTAAAATACTGCCAGACCGGTGAAGCCATTTTGGCGAGCTTGTTTTGCCGCGCACAGAGAAGAGTGTCATGTATTTTACGTCATGTGATCGGCTCTCTCGATCGGCCTTTATAGAGAGCACCGATCGATCGGCAGAGAGTGAATATCGTCTGATATCAATCGGCGGCCGATCGATCGGAGCATCCCTAATGGAGACATTTTATATTAAGATTTATACTGCTTGATAATTGCTCCTTTTTTAAACTAATACCTGACCTTTTCAACACACATAATTCTGTTTGCACCAGCATCTCTACAGATTTCAGATGCAAGACAAGTAAAATATTTTTTTCCCACCTAATATACCAAGGAATAGAGTAAAATATAAATAAGGGAAGCTTTTTGAATAGGGCCATTATTAAAACCCACACACTGAATTTCAAGAATCTGCTTACTTGGGGAAGTGTGTAAGGATGAGTGTGCGTTTCTCTGGGAGCAGTTTATCCTTCTCCACTCTGAACTTCTCCAGGAGCTGCCGCCGGGTCACAGTGAAGATGGACTTGAGCAAGCTGCGGCCGAACACGTGCGTGGTCTCATAGCGCGGCAGGCTGTCGTTACTCTGGGGGACGTGGCAGTAGCACAGCCACCTGGAAGTAAGAAGAAACGCCGCTAATGTACAGACTGATATCAACATCCAAACAGAGACATCTAAAAAGGTATGTACTTTCTATAACAACAACAACACACCCACACACCTGGTGTAGTCCACTTTATAGGCTGTCCCATCGTCTTTCTGGGTGCGCTGGCGGTACTGCGTAGGGGTTTCCAGCTTCCAGTAATTGAGGCACAAGAGGAACATCTTTGACAGCTCAAACATGGTCTGCCTTTCCTTTGGTGCCAGGTGGCTGAACTTATACTGAACAAAATTCAAAACCCCCTTTATGAGGAAAAGAAAAGATCAAGTTAATGAGGCACAAGAGAAAAAGAGAGTAAGATATTTGTGAAATATGAAACAAGCATTATAGACACGTCACATTTTCAGTGACTGCTTTAGATCAGGGAATGACATGTAGGTTCTTAAAGTGTTATGTCACCTGCTCAATGTTGGGTTTTTCGAAGGGAGGACTTCCGAGGGATCCCTCTACGACTGGCTGGCTCATCTGCAGGATGCATTTCCTCAGCAGCTAAGGGACAGTTTTGCATGTTGTTAAATTGGGCAAGACATTTAATAAACGTGGACTCCAGTTACAACAAGTTATATGTTGGTCTGTTTTACCTGTCACACTGCTTACCTTGAATAGGTAGAAGTAGACCTGTTTTGTGTCAGTGTCCTCCTCTTTGTGTACAGACATAAAAAGGTTCTCTACATCCACCACCATGCCCAACAGCCTGTTTATCTCCTCCTCAGACACATTCTCCAAGTGGGACACATGGTCAGCTGTAAGCAAGGCATTACATACAATTAAAGTCCAAACAGTAAGATGTCAATCAATACTGTGAAACAAGAGGTCCCTGGAATATAGCTGCATTTGCTGTAGGTATATATGCTGGTGTGTATGTGGAGGATGGTTAGTTTGTACCCAGAGCATGTCCACAACTGCGGCAGGGCTCGCTCAGGCTGGCGGCTTGCAGCTGCAGGTCCATCCGTGTGGCTGATGGTGGATTTGGGTTCTTCCATCCATTGCACTTGCATGTGTCATTGGCCTGACAAAAAACGCAAAGAATGCTCAACACCAAATAAAGCGACTTAGACAGTACACCACCTGCTGTTATGGCACGCCTATTAATGACAGTGAGGTTAGGCTAGCTGATCATGCATTCATCTCCAAATACTTAACGTTAAGGTGAATGGTACAAGTGTACGGGAAACTTGCTATATAGCTTGCTAGCTAGCTTCAAAAGTTAACAATCACTTCAAATCATTAAGCTATTCGTTTTTACTTGTGATAGCAGTGCCTTGACCGTGCTACCATTTTCTATCCCACATACACTGGTGCTAATAATACCCGGGGAGTGCTTTGTTGTGGTGAACTTTGGCTAGCCAAGCTAGCTACCTTGCAGGCGGAGAATACGCCAAGTTTCTCAAGCTTTTTCGCCCGTGGGAAAGCTCGGACTTGAGCTTTCTTCTGGCTTGCACGCTGTTGTTGACTAAGTCCTGGTCTGGCCGGGTCACTACTCCCTGGCCCGGAGACTGTGGCGGCAGTGCTGGAACCCGCTGAGCCGACAGACTGGGCTTGGAGAAGCCGGGGTTGCAGGGCCTGCGCGGTCGGGTCCGACATGTCCACGCGCTGCTCTTCCTCTGCTCCCGTTTACCTCCTATGCTGCCTTCAAGTGCTGTCGGCAAAACGAGACTTAATAGGACCGACGCAATGTGTGAACCGTTTTTACCCCCATGAAAACCGACGTGTTGACAACATACATTAACGATGGAAATATCACTGATTTACGCTTTAAGTAGACTTTTTAATCTTTCAAAGTAAAATTGTGTCGGTCTGTCACTTCAACATTCCCAAACTATGTGACCACAACACAATAGGCATTATTACATCTCATTCAAACGTATATAAATCATAAACATTTATCTATATTACGGTATTAATCAACACCTCCTCGTAATTTGAATGTTTTATTTTGAATGTCTTCACCGGAAGTTTTGTTAGGCCAACTCTTGAAATATGCTTTCGGAGCCCTCTAGTGGTCACAGTGCGAAGCTACACCTCTGGCCATAAAAACAGCACTGAAATAGAATGTGGTCTGATGTCATGGATTTAACTCTCAAATAGATGTTTAGATAGATAGTATCACGTCTCTAAAGTGTAGTCATTTAATTTCCTGTATTATTTATCTTGTATTCTCTATGTATTGCTTAATTTTAACATTATTTACATATAAATCTAGTCGGTGTTATGTTATTCTGCGCTGTAAATTGTACGTTTGCAAATTACCTTAAATTATGTTGTCAGCTTATTTTCTAAGAAAAATCTTTATACTAAAACAGAAGTTTTTGGTTCATTACTTTCTTTTCTAATCGAATGTAACTGTTTTCATTCTAAAACGATAGTGTTAGTATTATTTTTGGCATTTACTTGCTTTTACAGACTGAAATAACATAATTGTAAGTACAAATGATATTGATATAAATTCAGATTATAAAATCGCTTTTCATGTATTATTTTTAATGTAATTGGAAGAGCGATTACATTTGCCTTAGTTTATAATGTCTTATTCTTCGTGGTTGTTTATGCATCTAAAGAGCACACGATTCGATTGCAGTGATTGAGGGCAAAGTAGTTTCTGGACACAAGTCAGATGTATTTATGAATGTTGTTCATGACACTGAAAAGTTTATAAGTAAAAAGTATTATAAAGAAACTAGTCAGAACTATGACGCAGTTTTAAAAGGTAACATAATGTCCCACTGGAGGTTGGCAGCTATAAAAATGACTGAGTCATCAATGATTGGTTATGTTGAAATGATTAAACAGGCATACAGATATTATGCCCTGCCCTTGTTTATTGGTAAAATTACATATATTTTCTTGTTTCTTTACCCATTACTCACTCTCCCCATTATCCCCCCACCCACCTGCACAGGAGTGGCTGCTGTGCAGGTACTGTTGTGCTAGTTGTTGATTCCATAACAGGATGACAGTACAGTTGAAACCAACCCCTCCCTTGATATGAAGAGTGAAAACAAAGACAGAGAAAAGAAAAGGGGATAACATCTCAATACACAAGATGATGAGACAGAACCAGTGCATTTAATACCATAGATTTCAGAAGAAAAAAAATTAACACGTAAAAAATCCATCACAAATTAAAGTTAAACATCATGTAGAGATTGGGAACATATTGTTTTGACGATAACTACTGATTGATTATAAACTTGAAAAGTCTGATACAAATACAGCAACGTTGTCAACACACAGTTGTGATTTTGGTCAAGAAAACAAATCTTGCTTTATGTATTTGTCATTGTACACTCATGATTCAAAAACATTACATTAATGCTAAAATTACTTATGGGTGACAATGTTAATAAAGAACTATTTACTGTTTATGGTTTGATAACAAAGATGGATGATTGTAAGACCATAAAGGTTTTAAAATCAAACTGAACAGCCTGTGTCATAAGAAGTGGAAGTAATAATAATAATAATAATAATAGTGATAACAATAACAATGTAATAATTCAATCTACACATCTTTATCAAGAAGGAATTATCTGTCCATTCCTGTTCTCCACCTTCTCTCTTCAGATGACCAGGAACAAGACAGAAAAGTGAAGGGCTGCTGCATGCACCTGGAGGTCTGAGCAGTGTCATAAGACCATGATGGAAACACTTAAGAACTTTATGGAGCATTGGGAAGCAGAAGAGAAAGGACGGGGCCAATGAGCCGGTTTATATTCATTCCTGTTGCTTTCTTTTTTATCTTCTACACAAATACAGAAACAAAAGGTGAGCAAGGTGGCGCTATGATGTGTCATCTGTGTTAATGACGTTTTTTTTTTTCCTTCTTCCATGATTGGGATGTTTTGTTTTTTTCCCCTTAAAGGTGACGTCAAGTGTCCATCATCAATCGAGAGGTCATGGATTGGCAAGTCCTGGGGTTAAAACATGATTCTGCAAATGGGCCTGTGGGTTGTTTTCTTGGTTCAACCGTCAGAGGGGTCTGGCAGGTTACTGGCCAGTGGACTCGTTTGCCTAACAGTTAATTGGTGCCGTGTTGCTCATTGGGTGGTTGGTCCGACCGTGGAGTGGTTCGACCATTGGGACATTGTTTGACAGCAGGCTAATCTCTGGTCTGGTTGATCGAAGCTGTTGATTGGTTGTGTTGGTTAGTTCCCGCCCCCACAGCACTGGCCACTCCTGCCCTGCGGTGCAGCTTCCTGCAGGTCCACGCCGCCTCGGGCCCGCCCGCCGGTCCCCGCTCCACCCTGAGGCTCGTTCTTAGGAAGCTTCTTGGCTGTTTGGAGTACAATCAATTAGGACTTCCATAAAGGCAACATGGCAGAGCACCAAATGGCTATTGTCCATTTAGATTATTCTTCCAATTATTTTCCTGATAGCTTTTTCGTTAAAACATCAGCAATGACTGAAACTTTTTTCTAGAGATGACATCATTCAATATTTGAGTCCCTCAGTTCAAATCAAAATGTATTATATTCACTGTATTGTAAAGCAAATTCCCATGTTTGAACCATTTCATATTAAAACAACCTGATTTTAACCTCAATATTCATTTCATGTTTAGAGTAATCTCGTTTTTTAGTTGGTAGAATAAGAATACCTGCACAGATAGGAGATACTCCTCTCAATAATCTTTGTAGGTTAAACGGTAACTGATGATCAATAGAACAAATGCTCAACTATATGTATGATCGTGATCAATGTTGCCTTGTTAGTTCTGAGGAGCACTTACCTATAGCCATAAAAATCTCATTGACATTCATAGCAGTCTTGGCGGAAGTTTCCATGAAGAGCAAACTGTTGTCATCTGCATATGCTTGTGCTTCCTAACATATAAATGGAACACGGGCAAATATACAGCATTTATTTATTAATTAAAAAATGTAATGAATGTATTGTAAACTTTATTATCAGACAGTAAAATCCTTCTTTACCTGGAAATCTATGGCTCTCTTGTTGGCCAGGTCGGCTTTGTTTCCTGCCAGTGCGATCACAATGTTCGGGCTGGCTTGTCGCTGGAGCTCCTTCACCCAGTTCTTTGCACGTGTGAATGTATCCTTTAAAAAAACAAAACAACAATTAGACATTGTTCCTTTAAAATGTAAATCCCTGATGTTTTTAAAAGTCACATTTGACTGTAAGAGTTAAAAGGGCGAAGGTCTGTAGCCGTCTTTAGTCGAGGAATTCTCTTGCACTATTTTATGTCCTATATATATTCATGTTGCACTGCTGGAGGAACCTGTGACGTGTTTCATTGTCATATCTACACTGTAGCTAAAGAAACTTGAATCATCAACCCCAACTGGAAGACGAGGGTCGGCAAAAAAAAGACACTTTGAAAACAACTTACTGTGTTGGTGATGTCGTAGACCACGATGGCGGCCTGGGCTCCCCTGTAGTACATGGGCGCCAAGCTGTGATATCGCTCCTGTCCGGCAGTGTCCCAGATCTCAAACTTCACTGTTGTGTCATCCAAACATACCGTCTGTGTGAGGAAGGCAGCTGGAAAGAAAGTCATAAAGAATATAAGAGCACAAACTCACAGAAAAGTCGTCCGCAAGTTCAAATCCAAACTTTTGGATGCGGTGATTGAGACCAAGATGAATCAATAAGGATTGATCACTCACTGGAGTGATACATTTATATATATAAAAAAAAAAAAAAAAGATGAAATCGTAACTTTTCCCTCACTTCTGCTTTCAAGTGTTATAACTGTTGGTCTCTTTCCAACTTAAAGAATGCTTTTATTGACTCTCCCCCTGCACCCTCTTTTCCTCCATTAATGAGGACTTTTGCACGGGAGAGATTCCACAATATATTTTACTTTTGTTGTTCAGCTACCTTGGGATGGCTACTGTAAGTTACTTTGTTTGTTGGAAGCTATTAAGTTGACTCTTAGCGGAATAGTCTCTGGTAGACAGTGATGCAATGTTTCTATCAGTTACAAATGGGCATGAATGTCCTGACTAACTAACCCCCCGAGAATTACCAAAAAAGTAGGAAACAGGTCAGAAAGACTGTCAGGGAAATACACGGATAGTGTCATGAAAAAAAAAAAAAGAGAAAATGTATAATGTGTAGTAAACACATACTGTATCACACAACAAGCTGGTACGACTGCATACACCTCGCTGAGTCAGGAGCCTGTCACATGACAGAGGAAACCTGAGCACTAACTTTTACATACTTTAAAGCTTTGTAATCTTTGACCATGCATTCAGCTTACCACAGGATTCAGTATAAAACATGCTGACTCGTAAGTCTTTGGTGTGTGCAAGCACTGAGCATCCTGTCCCCACATCCTACAGCCACATTACTCATAGGATGAAGGAAACATGGAAAATAAAGGTTGTTTTTAACGTAAAATAAAAAAGAGTTGACACCAAAAGAAGTTCTGTTTCATATAACTGACCTTACAGCATTACACAAGATAGTGAACGCCGCATGTTCCCAGATAACGTTTACGATTTATACACAGACAATGAGTCCATTCATTAAATGTTTAAAGAAGAAACAAGTTCCCGCTCGTCCACTTGCTGCTTTTCTGTTTTACATCCACACAAATCTTTAGACTGTTGTTCCTACAACAAGCAAACTGAAGACGTCATATTGGGCTCAACAAATATGTTTTGTGCGGCCTTGTTGACTAGGTATTCAATATCCAAGCGATTTCTTTATTCAACAGTTATGATCAGTGAATGCATCACATTTATTAGTTTTTTAAAGGTTGTGTTCAGACCCTTAGAGTCATTGTTAAGGCCAGTGGGAAGGAATCAAAGATGTGAGTAAATAATAGTCTTTCAGCATATTGTAATTCTAGGGATGTAGAAGAAAACTTCTGCAGATCGTCTTTGTTTGGTTTTCAGTTTGTAGAAAGTCTAGCCTGTGACTGAAGGCTTTGGCCAATCACAGGTCGTTTCGGGAGGAAAACGCTCCTAGTGGGTTTTCTACAAAGCAGCATCAGCAGGACTTTCTGATGGTGAAAGTACAGAGAAGTTACTATTCATGCATTAGCAACAACTGTCCACACAGCAAAGCAAGTGAAAAAAGAGAAAGTCTTAACAAATAAAGTAGGACAATATCGGCTAAGCATTTCAGAAATGGAGAGAAAATGTTGTTTTTGCCCAATGACGCCAAAAATAAAGTACCTTCCCTAGCTTTAATGAAATAATGAAGCCACGTTTCAGAAGTCAGCCGCTCCAGTGGAAACCTGTCCCTGTTGTTTTGCCAGCTGGAGGATTTGCACTGAACAGCCAAGTTAGAAGTGTACCTATGTAGCCCTCAAGCTATCCCAGTCATTTAACTCCCTAACTTTGCAAAATGTCAAAGCTACGGACACATTATCATTTTCTTGTTTGAAACCTAAACACAAGTGTTTCACCAGCTCCCCTGTGATACAGGAGGTCCAGGAAACCCCATTGTTTTCTCAATTCCTTCCTGTTTCAAGTAACTTCACTCCTCTGCTACCTAGGAACTGCTGTTTCCAGAAGACAATCTAAAGAGTTGTTCTGTCCAGGTCAAGCTTCTATTGTCAACACAATATTTAGAAATGTAATACGTCTCTGTTAAATCAATATAAATGTCTGCCATGTGTGAAGAGCTGTGCGGCTTATAAGGAAAGTCAGGCGATCTGACGCAATAACTGGTTCTGCCACTCCTGCAGCGCTCTGACAACAGAACACATGGAGCAGCTGCTCGGAGCTGGCAGAGACATGTTTTCGCTGCTTCAGCATTCATCTTATGTTCAAAATGGAGATTCTGTTCAGCCACATGATCATTTATGACAAGGGTACTTAAATTACAATTGTGTAATGACTCATCACTACTTTGGTGTGAAAATGCAGAGAAAGTTCTGCAATGCAATTGATTATATACTTGAATCCCTGAGCTGTTATTTACATCTAAAAGGAATGTACAGTTGTGTTTTCTTAAAGCTATGATACTGCTTGTCCTCAATATATTATAGGCCTCAGATATATACATGTCTCTGAAGTGTTTGGCGCAAACAGATCATTGTAGCATCCCATAAACCCCTGTTTCAGCCCTGTTTCAAAAGTGTTGATTCTGAGTCTGTTACTTAAGGTGAAAATAAGGAGCCCCTCCCCACGCCCCTTTGAGAGACATTTGGTTAAAAAGAACACCATGGTGCTCTAGGAGGAGATTCAGGTGATAAGGTGGTGGGGGGGGGGGTTACCTTGGTTGGTGATTGGCTAATGGTTACACAAGCCAAAAAATCGTTATGACATCACAAAGTGGCCAAAGTCTGATCAGCTCATTTTCAGACGAGGGCAAAAAGTGAGCGAATCTTTTTTCCTGAAACGTTCAGAATGTCTTTACACAGAGGGGACACATGTTGATGTAGAAAAGACATGAAAAAGTGGAATTTGCATAACAGGTGACCTTTAAAGCATTAGACAGCAGAGATAATTATGTGAACTAAACAACAAGGACCCTCACCTCCGATGGTGCTCTCCTGGTACTCGTGGAACTGGCCCTTGACAAAGCGCAGCACCAAGCTGGACTTCCCCACCGCGGACTCCCCCAGCAGCACCAGCTTAAACTGGCAGATCTTGTTGCTCGCTGCGGTGCCGTTGGTCCGTGCTGGTCCGCCTCGCCCTGCCATAGCGCAGTTCTTTTAATCAGGAGAAAGGAGAAGAAGTCGGGAGAAGAGGGAGGAGGTCTGGTTGACTCGAGGCCTGGGTCGGTGCAGGGGGTAGATGAGGCTGAGACAGACAGGGGGGGGGGGGGGGGCAAGTTCGGTCAGGCAGGTAGATGAGCCGGAGGAAGAGGAGACCTCACCAGTGGGAGCTGGAAAAAATATTCAGTATGTTAAAGTTGGCTCTAAACAGAACAAAGGCTTTCCATGAAAACAAACACAGGATGTCTGCTGAATGTTATAATCAGTGTTTCATCGAAACAATTCAACAGAGAGGAATTCTTTGTTCCAAAAAGAGATCATTCTGATCTATCTTTTTTTATTTATTATTTTGTTTAGCCAAGATTACCAGCTGACAATTATAGAGTTGAAGTTGTTGACACAGAAACACAGTGGGATAAAGAGTTGATCATTGAACCATGTTTAGTGTAAACAAGTGCTGGAGGAGAACACATGTTCTCTCTCATGCTCCGTCCCACATGTATATGGTTCACTACACAACACATGATTTGGCTTTACTTCAGAAAATATTTGAGAAATAAATGTACACACACTTCATATATTGATATTAGATGAATCCTTGAAGTATTTTTTGTAATTCAAATAACAGAAGTTGCCGTTTTAAGCCTCTCAAATATGGATATTTCTCATTACTTTCGGTTACATTTCATACTTAACATACATCTTTTGTTTTTGGATTCACAAAACAAGACATTGAATGAAATCACCTTGGACTGAGAGACTGGAGTGACTCAATGGACCTTTCCAACATACAGTTAAAACATATCTTCCAGTGAGTCATGTCTTAAGAGATATCAGGCCAAAGTTTAAAGGTATGACTTTATAGTGTGAACATCTTTGTAGCTGTTTCCATGTAATGATACCAAAACCAGATAATGACTGTCAAGTCAAAAATAGATTACTTTCAACGCTGCAACCTTCGGTGACCACATCTTGTTTGTCATGGATTCAAGTTGTATTAATAAATGTAAACTTTATTTTGACAGTCTTGTCGTAAATAGAGAGTTTAGCAACAGAAAAACTGCTATAAGACCAATAGCCTAACACAGAGGTTTACTTAAAGTATTTAATCAAGCCAAATGCAGCCCAACCTCTCCACACACTTTACGTGATAACAGCATTCAGAGACAATAGAAATGAGCCAACGATTTCTCCCTTCACTTGAGCCTATTTGCATTTATGAAACCTTGCCTAATCTGCTTTTGCAGCGGAGTGATACACATGAGGTCAGCCAGCTTCTGCTTGGTCAAAGGACAGGAAACACAACTCAGCTCAAAGCAGGAAGTGAAGATTGCAGAAGACATTTTACTGCTGAGCACGTTAAAACTTGGGATAGCCTGAGCTGTGTCACTAACTCAACTTCTGGCAGAAAAGCACACTGAAGAAGAGTAGGTTAGACCTTTGCTGAATGAAAAGGGAAATGTGGAGAGCTAAAGTAAGACGTCAGTGCCGATAGTCTTTAGAGTTTGGTTGTGCGAGGCTCGGTGCTGAGCCAGACTTAAGCTTCAGCATGTGACAGATCATGACTCAGTCAAATGAAGCATGCCACTTCTGAATATTTGATGGACAGTGTACCAACCGTGCTGCGTTGTTCATTATAGGAACACATTTCTGCCATTATGTTTTGCAGCATTAGTTTCATTTTAGAAAAAAGACCAGGTATTGTGCAGTGTTCCCCTTTTACTCAGATTTACAAAATGTGGCTTTACCCATGTTAAAGAAATAGTCTGTAATTTCAGCATGGTACCAAATCTGTTTACTTTTGTTATAGATTTTAAAGAGGCTGCATGGAAGTAAACCTGCAAACCCATCAGACTTCATCGTCAGCAGTGCACTTGAGGTCACAGTGGACTCTAACCAACAGACTGACACAATCACACAGGGCTGAAAGAGCAGGGGGAATCCTTCAAAGCAGGCAGCAGAGTCGGAATAAAGACGCTTTGTTCACAGGGTCAAGCAGAGCGTCTGAACTCATTTGATAGCAAGCAGCAGAGATGAGCCGTCACCTGTTCACATTCCTGACCGGAGAGAGACAAGCTGTACTGAGGGCCGAAATGCGTTTGGGAAAAGAGACTGACAAGCAAAAGCGCAGAATGTAACCCAATTGCTTATCCTCTGATTATCTGGAACAGAGTGTGTGCGGAAACACTTGCTGTAATTCAGCTTTAGATCAACTCGAAAATGTCCTCCATGCATGCACGTTTCTTGTGCAAAAGAGAAAGCCTTTGTATGAAATTGTTAATTTGGTAGACTAAGAAAAACGACTTGTATAGAAGGTTTGGATAAGACAGGTGGGTCCTATAGTTCATAACAGGGAGTAGACTGCGCTCCCTAACCCTAAACCAGTAACAGTCAAATACGATTTAAGTGTAAAAATGATCATGTGTAGTGGCTTGTAAATATTTGTTGGTTAACAGATATCGTAGAACACAACTATTATTAGCTAAATATGCACACTGTCTGCTACCTACTGATGATGAAGTGGAACCTTTGAGCGTTGACAGTAACATCCATGCACAGAATGTAAAAGGTAGAAGTGGCCGTGTAGCTTGCAATCAAAAGGCTCTTTGTTGCTCTGAGACAGACCTGCTCACATCTTAAGCAGCCTGCGATGACGGATGCCTTGATGGATCCCTAATGGGCTCTGAAGACCTCTGCCGCAAAGTGGGTCACAGAGAGACTGTGGCACATGGGTCAGGGAAAGGGGGGGGGCGGGGGTGGGAGCAAACGTGAAAGAGAATCTGTGAAATATTCATCGTGACCTCCTGTATGCTCTGCCGCTAACATGTCATCCAAGTGCTTTGAACACCTGCGTGCAGAACAATGTGTGCACCAATTCAATACCAATTATATTTTGCCGTTATATTTAAATGCAAAACCGGTACAAAACAAAGTACAGATATAATTCATAGGACTTATTTCTGTTCACTGCTCAGTCAAAAGAACTGAAAAAATACTGACAGTGATATGACTCATTAATGCCAGTAATAAAGCAAATCGATAATTCTCAGTAGCAGATAAAAGCCTATAAAACTATATGGTCAGAGATTCTGTGTACAGTTTCCTAACATGTTCTTATGATTCCCTGTTTCTAAGTAAAGAGGAGCATTTGTATTGCATTTTGTGTAGTTTTAGATATTAATATAAAGTTTGGATTCTTCTCTTCCTCTTTAGCGTGAACATGCAATTAAAAAAAAAAACATATTATAAGAGAATAAGTTATTCGCAAGGGAACATAACTATTTAAAGACATAAAATGCATTTCATTTGAAGTAACATCACAGTGTGCCAACATGTAATGTCAAAAACTTCCCTCAGTGACACATCTATTTAAATAGTAGTCAAACAAACTCTGCGGCTGGGGCCACTATACCAGTTTTAACAATACAAGCAGGGACTTGTGCTGCTCACTTAAAGGGTGGGGTCCTGGAAGAACTGTTGGTGTCTGATATGAGGGGCTGCATCGCCATCCTCCTTTTGTCTATTATGCCTAATAGTCAGACTCTGGCAAGGGAGTAGCAACTTTCTATGTACAGTGAAACTGTATATTCCTAACCTACACATTATTGGCAAATCGCATTCATATACAACAAAGACACAAAAGCAGAACTGTCTATAATGAAACAGGAAATGCTCTTGATCCAAGGTAAGCTATTCAACCGTTCAGGTTTCTAATAAAGAATGGCTTTGGAAACAGTCACAGGGAAACTGGGGATTTAACACAGGAAAAGCCAACATACTCATCACTGGCATTTAGCAAGGCAAGCAGCAAACACTTCCTTTTCTCGTGACTTATTGGGAAAACATCTTTATCCAACAAAAAACAAGTCCAAAGCCATTCATGGGGAGAGGCACACACCTGCATCTCCTTGCCAAATCACAAACAACTATTCAAAAGTTACTAATTATTCAGTGACTGAATGAGCAAGAGTAGTTTATAAAGTGCCATGAGATTTTGTTTAGTATGTCTGAGTCTTGCACATTTGTCATTAACTTTACATCGGTAAAGAAAAAAAGGAAGGCTTGTGCACGCATTTGAAGAAATGACCTCGCACAACCCATCAAGTTATCCCAAAAGCCTTTGTCCCAGTCCTGTTTTTGGTTAATAATACAAAAAAGGTGCGTCGGAATTTGTTCTCTAGTTTATAGCAGGTTACCACCACTGGCTTGAAACACATACTGAGGTCATAAAGTCCTTTGGTAAATTAAAAACACATAACTAAGCCCAGGTTGCAAGTTTAAAAGTACAGACCTACAACGTATGTGATTTCCTTGAACTCAAGCCCAAACATTATACAGATGGTGGAGAAATGAACTGTCCTTCTTTTAGTCAAGATGTGTCTCCTCGTTAAGAGAACAAGGTCCATACGCAATAAACGAAACAAGAGCTCAAGCAAGTACCTGCAAATCCCCTCTGAACGTTGTTTCCCTTATTCAGCCATAAGGAGGAGCTACGGAGATATAGGCATTGTAAATGCATTTGCTTTTAAATGCATGGAGAACTGCACACTCATAATCTCAACAATGTTAACTGGCACAATAACAAATGGTGTCAGAAATAATGCCATTTTAATGACTTTATTTTGTATTGACTGACCTGAGTGTGAGGAAATGTGAACCGGCTTTTAACCCCAGTTAAAGCTGCAAAGCTAATTGTGCATGCTATAAATCCATCAGACATTTCAACCATAACATCATTTCAAAATAGGGTTAAAGGCAGTTTAACTATTTTGTAGATCTACTTGAATAAAACAAGTAGTTTGACAGTTATCTGTGACGGAGGGCTAAGAGGAATCATAGCAAAGGTGCATGCTACCAAAGATGTCTTTCATAGTTAAATTAAATTGCATCTAAAAGTAAAAAGCAAGAAAGTTACAAATATTTACTCTGGGTGGTCAACACTAGCTTAGCAGAGTGATAAGCTAATTTGGCACGTAGTTTGAATACTGTTTTATGTTAAAAAATATTAAGCTAACCAAAATGTGTTTGTCCATCTAGCTTATCGTTAGCTATGACAGCTGGTCAAATTAAAGCGCCCCTCAATAACTTGGATAGCATACAACTGACTAGCATGTATAACGTCAGTTGTGCTAAGCAGTTTGCCAACAACTTACTAACCAACGTCGACGAGCTAACGTCAGTATTGACATTGGCAGTTTCTTAGCATTAGCACTAGCTTCCTAGAGTGAATTGCCGACAAAACAATAATGCTTAACTCTGGGAAACGAATACTGGCTACTAATGGTGTTAGCTAGGTTAGCAGCGCAAACGTCATTAGACAACTTTCATTTTTCTCGGCCCCACGTCGTCTGCTTTTTGACATTGGACAAACTGGAGGACTCAGACTTGTAATTGTGTCTGCTTCTGGCAGATACATATGTCTTATGCCTCTAAGTACTTTGTGTGTCAATGCTTATTTGACATATGATGTGGTCTCACAGGGATAGGCACTCTGCCTCTGTCTGATGGACATTTCGGCTGAACCCGGACTTGGCTGATCGGTTGACCAAAATGAGACAAAGCGTGTCCAAATACGGTTAACAGCTCTTCGAAAAGAAAGTCCCACATGCGGTCAATGTCCCTATTCACAGACATGTTATATATGTTTAAGTTGTTTGACTTACAGTACTTTTTCTTCTTTCGTTGGTCTCATCGGAGACGGCTGTCTTCTTCTTCTGAGGCTCTGGCCTTCCTTTCCGGTTAGCGATTTTTCCGGGAACGTCCCACTTTTTGTCAGCGGCCGTTTGACCAATGAGAGCAGCAGCAGCACGAGACACCACTGTCTGCCGCACCGAGAGGCGTTCAGGGTCCCTCCGGACACAGTCTTGATTTAGAGATTTAGAAATATATAATGCACCAAATCATCAATACATGATCATAATCCGGTATATATTTAAGATAACTGCACCTTTCGATGTGACTTGAATACAGAGATAATGTAATTAAGTACATTTACTCAAGAACTGTACAGTACACAATTAGAGTACGTGTATTTACAGTAACATATGTTGTTTTTAGGTTATTGGATTGTTAATTGTGTATCTGGATAATGCAAATTAAAACGTTCTACGTATGTTTTCCCCCAATTAAACAGGGAACTCCACTCAGGTAAAAGAAATTAATGAATGTGATACTTGATAGCTATATAGATATATAAACATAACATTTAAATACTTACAAAATGAACAAAACATATACTGATAGGGGATATTAATATACATTTTTAGTAAAGGACCTTTACTTGTAACAAGGCCCGTACCCAGGATTTCCTAAATATTGAGGTCCAAACATGCCAGGGGGGTTTGGGGGCATATATTTACAAGCTGTAGCAGAGTATTATCTAATAGTATTTAGATAAAATATCTGCATCCGCCCTTTTTTCTCTTTCAAAAGTCTTACTAGTACTTTTTCATTCATCTACCATTTTCATTAGTTAAGTAGCCTACTATTCGTCACTTGTGGGTGAATGCACTCACCTTGTGTTCATTTTCCTTTATTGTTCTGCGGATTAATTACAGACCTAATGAACATGCACAAACAAAGAAAAAAGATGAGTCTGAAGGTGGAATCTAGGACTCCCTTTAATGAATCTATTTCAGAAAAAAAAAAACATTTCAAAGGAGTGTCAACTCCAATCATGTAGTCTGATAAACATTTACAATGGCAAATTGACACAATGATGCATGCAGCCTTAAATTATGTAGATTATTAGAGTGATAATGTAAATAATCAGACACTGTGTTTATCCACATTTTTTTGTTGAACATTATGATCCAGGGATGTTCTCGTCTGATGAGCTAGTCAGATGTTGTCGAAGGTTGGATCTTATGAGCTGTAATTTGTCTTTTGTACAAAAAGATGCTTTCCCTTCTTCAACATTGGCATTTTTGTTTTTTTAACTAACACTAATGTTCATTAGAACTACAGCTAACATTCCCGTTATACACTAATGAGGTCAGGATTTCATGTAAAAATGCTACGGGGTTACATAAGGGCTTGGATGCAGTGCTTTACGAACACACACGAACACATGCTCTTGTTGTTAGGACTTCTAGTGAGGTTAACAAAGGACACTTAGGGAGGGATTACAGTGTGTTTAATTGTCTTATTATTACCAAAAGTTGCAGTTGCCTAAATTGTTGATCAGGATAAAAAATGTCACACCCCCAGGAATGATGAGGTCAAGGCTTTAGACATAAATTGGCAATACAAAGTTGCAACTCTCTTGATCTGATAACCTTATCTTGCTTGAATACTGGAGCACGTAAATAAAATAATGTATACATTTTTATATATAGCCCCCTCCTCGATATAGGCTACTATAAAGTCTTGCTGGAGTATGTTTTAATTTTTGAAGGAGTGCTGTGAAAAAACACTGGTATTGTTTAAAACAATACATTACTGCATTACTAGTTTTTCGAAAATGAATTAAAATAAGATAAATATATATCCCTTTAATATTGGAATTATTTTAAAGCCCATACAGCATAGTCAAGCTCTGGTCTGATAAGTACATGTGTTCCTATAAAGGCAAAGAAAACATATTATCAAAATAACACACTTCTGAAAGTGCACAGAGCAAAATATTGGGATTATCCTCATTAAATGTACAGTTGTGCTCCTTTCTTCCGTTTATCCGTTTCAGAACGAGTGTGTTTTTTCCTCTGTGCTGTGTGATAAGAGATCAGCCTTTTGTAACACACTGTCTCCACTGTGTGGCGCCTCATCCCTGTATATCATAACTTGAGCGAGTAACCTTTAATTATTTTATGAAATATGTACAATAATTGTATCTTTTGCTACTGCTTTACTAGTGAACCTGCTAACATATATCCAAATACCATTGAACCCTAAAGAGAACGTGTGTGGTGCATGTCTTGGTGGAGGGAGCAGCAGGGAGCATTTTATTTGATGGTATCTGAAGGAAAAATTAAGTCATCATTATAACAGATTAACAGAAGATAGTGAGGTCACCAGTATGGGCTTTATATGTCCTCTACATCCAAGAGAGGTGATTGAACTTCTACAGTTGGAGAACTGCAACTCATATCCTGAGATTCAATACTGTTCGTCCTCTCTTGGTACAGTGAAGCTCTGCAGTCTCTGTCTGTTTCCGGCCCCGTAAGAGAACAAGGAGGGTCCTGTGGGAGGCGGGTAGGGCTGGATCCAACGAGGTCATTTTGCCTTGGGCCATTGACAGAGCCCTGGTGGCACTGGCTGTGCCCTGTGCATGTTGAAGAGTGGACTGACGGAGTGAGAGTGCTGAAGGTAGGATGATACTGCAGCCGGCCAGTGTTATACATGGAGGAATGGATAGTTGTCTGATTTTGTGTGGGACCAGAGTTGGTTTGAACATCCAGAGATGGATGGGAGAAGCCAGAATTCACAGAGGAACACAGAGGGTGTGTGTTGCTCATTGTTGTAATAGAGGCATTGTATTGGACCTGTGGAGCCTGACAAACCACGGGGAAGCTACTGAAGGAAGGGCTGTGGCCTAGGAGGGATGGATGTGGGTGGGTCGTGTAGGGAGAGTTTGGAGTTGTTCTTGAAGTTTGAAAGGGGCCACACTGGCTCTGTAACATATGGGCTGTGTCCCCTTCCCTGTCAGAGCAGCACAGGTGTACACAGGAGGACACAGGGCTGGAAGACTGCAGCAAAGTTGGACTTCTACCCTGAGAGGGGATACCACTGCAGCCCAACACATTTCTGGCAGGGTGACTAATTGATTCATGATGGAGGTGCAGACCGGTGGCAATATTTAAAGGGACGTGGGGCTGCCAGTTGCTGGAAGCACCCACACTAGGACTGGGAACCATTTGTATGCCATAAGAGGCATGAGGTGCATGGTGCATGGACATATGAGACTGTAGGAAATGCATTATGTCGTGGAGCTCCTTGGCCAGGTTGGACACTTCGTGGTTCAGGTTGCTCACCTGAGAAGAAAAGAAAAAAAAGTTTGCTGTGGGGCATATCTGTTTTTTTTTTTATTATTTGAAATAACTAATAAATGACAAAAATATGTGAAACACCTGGGGTAAAAAAAAATTGCAGTAAAAATTGCAGTATGTTTACTACCCATAACACTGTAACACATTTGGCAAAAGAATGTACTGATAATTCTGTATAGCCAGATCATTTATATACAGTATTTTGACTTTTTTAAGAGCAATGTTAAGGTACTTGTTTTTTCCTTGAGTATTTTGATACTTTATACTTATACACTTCACTACATCTATGAGGCAAATAGTGTACTTTTTACCCCACATTTATTTGAAAACTGTACCTCTTTGTTCAGTTTGCTGATGTTCTGTCTCACTTCCTCTGTCTCCAGAAGCAGGTGAGCACTCACTTGGAACTGGTCTACAAAAGAATGAAAACAAAGCAGTACAGCTGAACTGAAATAACCCATAATATATCATGACATCTAGCCTCAAATGAGTACGGTTATAAGTACTGCTTGAATGTAGAGCAATTACAGTATACACAGTAGCCTATATCTGATGATGATTAGTTAATCATACATGAAGGTTCCTGGAAAGTTATCTTTATCAAATTGTCTGCTATTTCATTTTTTCCAATTCGTTTCACCTTACCTGTTATATTAGTCTTTGTCTCCCTCTGCTCTACATTAAATTGAAATGTGTGACCATTGTCCTCAATTCCATCCACGACCCTGGCAGAGACACAAATCAGTGTTACTACATAATCATGATAAAGGTGCAAGAGTGATTGCTGATTTATATTTGGGTTATTAACAGGTTACCTGGGGCTAAGGCTAGGTGGGCTAACACAGCTCAAGGATGGCATTAGCAGATTGGCAGGCCGCTGGTTCAAGGACTGGTCGCTGCCAAGACTGGGCACAGGAGAAGGAGAGAGCTCCTGATTGGTGAATGACTGATGAAAGGGGCTGTGGCTTCTACCGACCTGAACAGGGGAGCCACAGTTGCGGAGTGCACTGATGTGGCGGAGCTCATCCCCTAACATGGTGCTGAGGCAGGGCTGACGCACAGGGCTGCCTGCTCCATGTAACAGGGGCACTTTCCTCTGCTGATAGTGCCTCACGTCTTCTCCACGGTCACCATTATCTGCCTCAACAATATAGGGCAGTTTATGATCCATAGCATGACCCTGAGGAGACAATAGATTGAACATTCGATGTTTCTTTGATTTGTGGAAAACAATTTAAGGCTGAGTGACTCTTAACACTTCACTTTTCTAGACCCATCATTTCAAATGAACACTAAAACCTTAAACATAACTGTAAAAGAAAAGGGTTGATCATGAGATTGTGGGAATTAGTTTTCCCTGCTTGCTAATACTAAATTATATTGTTCCTGTCTCTACCTAGAAGAAATCTAGTACCAACAAATAAATACAAAAGAAAAATAGAAATATAACACATATTTGCATGTATAGAAAATGGTAAATCTACATTCAAAGCAATGCTTTCTCCTCTGTAACAGACCAGAAAACTAAAATAGAAAACAATTTGACATTTGTAAATGGAATTAAGATATCATTTTAATTTCTACGGTGTATCAGCATGCAAGCTGGAGAGCAAGTCTAGGAAAACTGTCTCTAGGGGAAAAGACACATTATGTGCACACAAACATGAATGAACAAATGTAGCAAAGCCTTCTATGTCTCTGATTGATTTCTACGTTGTTTTATGGGCTTATGTTTGGCTCCTCTTCTTTCAGAATCCTTGAGTTAACTTAACACTTA